TCTTTATTGCATATAGGACAGGATACTGAACAAGTAAAGTAATCGCCATATTTATTACTGTATTTCAATGATAAATGCGAAAAGCGATCTAATACCATTTTGATAATGTGGGCTTGCTTCTCTTCAGGATCATCGGGCAAAGTAAAAATTGGAGCTTGGGATGTTGATTGGTTACTAACATTTGTTTTTGTATTTTCTGATGATACACTTGCCCGAGTTTCCAATAAAACCTTCTCAGGCAATGCACTGATTTCTTTTTCATAGGGTGAGGATCTACACTTAACATAGTAAGAAGCATTTTTGCAATGGCCAACTATACCAAATACATGCCCTTCACTGTGCTTTTGCTCGCATCCTGGACATACTTCAGAGTTATTAAATGTCGCCAATTAGAAAAGAGTACACCAGCACTTAATGATAAACCAAAGATTTTATTAGGGAAAGACACGTTGGTTAATAATATCATAGAAATTACCAGAAATGTCTTTTACTCTGGCGCTCAAAAAGGCATTTTTGAAACCCTTATCATGCCAAAAGTGTATGACATTCAACCCTCTCTTCTGTAATTCTTCGGAAGGCCAATATGGTTTTTTGTAAAATCATTTTCACGAGAGAAATGGATCAGCCAAACCTCAGAGGGGCAAAGTTTATTAGCATATTTATACACCTGTTTATCCAATTTTTGCGGGGTTGCAGTGGCCACCAGCTCAAGTACGGCTATAGGATTGGAGTTTAAGTGATCAACTTTCTGTGTATCAGTCTTTTTTTTGAAAAAAAAAACAAAACAAAGTGAGATAATTCTCAGTAAGCGTAACAAGATAAAAATCGAAATAAAATGGCGGGATGCAAGAATATATCATCAGTCAGTTTTTGTTGTATGCAAAGGTACAGGTACATAAATTCCTTATCCAGAACCAGTAACTTTTACCAAAAACTTTTATTGACATACTCCATAAGGTTTACCAGGACGAACGTAGTAAACGCACCCACTTCAGTATTTGCAAGAGTAAAAGTTACTCCACTCTTATCGGGACGAACGCAATAAGATACAAGTACTTGATCAAAAACCTCCATCCATCTAAATTTAATATCTTTATTATACTTACCTTTTTTGTTGTTCAAAAGCTCTTGGGCAATATTGCCAACCTCTTCTAATGTGTGCGGATCCTTTTTTATGGTATGTAACATATTATAAAATGCATGATGGGCCATCCTTATATCGGCATTTTCGTAATTATCAATTATATGAGAAACAAAGTGAGTAAGTGACCATTTCTCATATGGAAAGAATTCAAAATATTTGTTATATGGAACATTGATAGAGGCAAAAGAATTGATGCAAATATTATCAGACATATTGAAAGTTTATGTGTGTAGTTAAAGTAGAAAAGTGGACGAACAAACTTACCTTTTTGCTTTTTTATTAAATTAGAAATCAAAAGAAACGCGTTAATTAAAGACGTGTCAAATAATTGCGGTCTATGCATGCGGATCCAACAAATAATGTCACATGTTTACTAGCCAATCAAATTGTGAATTTCTAAAAATGAAAAGTGTCGTGAGGATTGGCTGAAGTCAGGGACCCAGAAAATTATCTTGGATAACGAATAAATTTTTGTATATCAAATCGATATCAAATTGATTTCCTCGATGGAACGGCAAAGAATTGCTATAGATTCTGAGATTATATAAATGCATACATCGCAAGTTATCTGGCTAATTTTGTCTTACAATTTTCTGTCACACAGATGGTCCGCCTAGTCATCGCGGCGGATTCTGTTCATACCCCAAAATTTAAGATATCTAATTTTAGGGTATAGACTTGTAATAACAGATAAACTATGCATCAATACGTCGGAGTACTAAAAAACATAAATAATCTAAATTTTGAGGGTTGCTTTAATTTTTAGG